TTTTAGTAGTAGTAGAGAGAGAGAGAGAGAGAGAGAGAGAGAGAGAGAGAAACTGAAAAACAGACGAGGAAGGTTGAAAAAGATATATATTTCCACATGCAAGGTGTTTTTGTATGTATCAAGCCTTACAGAGTAGAAACACTAATTTTATGTTAGTAACAATATTGTCAAATGACAGAGGTGAAGTACTTCAAATATGAAATAAGAGATGATCTCAAATGAGCTGTGTAATTGGCCTTACATTGGGAGAGGTGTTTTTGGCAGGCACAAAAACAATTTGGAAAGGCCATAGATAGGGGACCATATTTCCCTATACTGAAAAAGGGACACGGGGTAAGTGGCGATGCCAGGTGGCCTGAGCCCTACCATGTGTTGCCGCTCATCTTGAGTTGACATCAGAGATGTCATGACTTTTTTTGGCAAAAATGGACATTTGTCCCGTTTACTCTTGTCCAAATGTTCTTCTTAGGGCAAGAACAAATGGGACAAATGCCCAGTTTTGTGAAAAAAGTCATGATGTCCAAGACAGAGCTTAAAAAGGAGACTGTCCCAGCCAAATCTGGACATATGATCACCCTAGCCATAGATGAAATTAGCATTTCTACACATTAAATACACTATCTTCATAAAAGGAGATCACGTCAAATCATAACTGAAGTCACTGTTTGAAGAGTAGAGAAACACAAAGATGAATTCAAAACAAACAGTAATAGGTGTTAAGAAGATGCTCTCTAGGTGAGTGTTAATTATTAGGTTCATTGTAACTGGAAGCCCAGGTACAGTTATTTAATGAAAGAGAATGTTAAGATCCTTAATAGTGAGTGTTGAATGTAACAGGCTTCAGTTTCAAGGGCTGCCAATCACCTAATTTTCTGGAGGACGTGTAATTACCCACACATATTTATAACCAAAAACATTTCTAATTACACAAAAAAGTGTACTGTAATGACTGTAAGTCTTCTATACACAAAATTATTTTTTTTAAGATGACTGATAATTATTGATACATTGTGTGTCAAATATACAGGATTATGTTTTACACTAAAATATTCAAAAGTATGCATATACAAGGAATTTTCAGAAACAAAATGCAAAGAAAATACTTTTTTAAAAAGGGGAATAAAACTAGATAACCTTACTCAGGAAAAATGCTGCAACACAATTACTGTACTGTATGTGAGCATGCTGTCTGGATTTGTGTTGAAATAGCACCCTAACTTGGGTGCAAATATTTATAAATGAAGTACTCCCTGTTGGACAATATTTGAGAAGTATTTGAAAACACACATTCAGTACAAATATTATGCCCTCATAAATTATATCAATAGTTATTGAAACCATCAGTTTACTGATTTGCTGCAAATAAATAAATTAGCACAATTGCTTTTTCAAGTCCATAAAATCAATGTGATAACTTCTCCCCTCTACTGTGTTATGACTTAGGATAACCCAAGCAAAATTAAAGGTTTACTTACTGCTCTGAAAGATAATCAATGAAGCAAGAGGCCTTTTTAATACCAGCTCTAGTGAGACAGCATTTTTGAATGCTGAATACAGTAATGAAACCTGAACAACTTTTATAGAAAAAAATTATCTGTAGCACCCAAGACAACTGAATAAAACATTTAACTTGGGGATACGTGGAAAATGAAGGCCTGTACCTTGTGCTGGCAATACTTGGTGATTCTGCGCCAAGCCTACACCTTTCTAGCTGACTGGCAACGATTTGCCTTTCCACCTCCAGCTCTCTGGTGAGTCTTTGAAACTGGAGCTCCTGTGATTCCAAAATAAAAAATAAGGCATTCTAGAGTTAAAAGTACTTGGTGTACATCAATATTGAAACATTAATCATTATACATTAAAATTGTGCCTTGGTGTGACTCTTAATTAGCTGAAATAATCTATAATCACAGTAATACACACAGTGTGATTTTACAGCTCTTTAATATTTGTAGTATCTTTTCGTTTAATCTTTTCTATTAAAAAGAGAAAGAAAAGATGTTCAGGTCTGCTTCTATCTAATCTGTGATTTCAACTCTTTCAATATCTTCCCCTGCTGCAGCATTTTAACAAACTATGGTTTACAATACACTTTCCTCAGTGGTGTCTGTAACTGAGGCATATCGCACAATAATACAACTTATTCTCAATTGTAGAGATGATTGGGGTTGGAGAGAAGGGATACATCAGAGCCAATTCCCAACTGAGATGGAAGCTATCAGTTAAGGAGCCTGGACTCGGACCCATTTGACAGCAAAACTGATGACTTCAACTAACTTTATTTTTTGATTGGTATTAGCATTGACTTCTCTTCGTTCAATATAAGACCCAGATAATCAAAGAGACACAGTTTGAATTAGACTTGTTCTCTGGACTTGCTTCTCACTAACCAATTATCCAGGTACAGGAAAACAGTAAATTTCTCTTTTTCTGATGTATGCTGACACTGCAATCATGCATTTTGTAAAACATGAGAACAGGCAGAAGGGAAGCATAGTGTACTGATAGCGTTGGCCTACCACAACAAATCTCAGAAACCTCCTGGGGCTCAGGAGAATCACCATATGGAAATAAGCAATGTGAAGGTGTAGGGCAGCAAATCAGTCACTGTGTTTCAGTATGGAAAGGATAGTTGGTAGGGTGACCTCAAATATCTGCTGTATTTGTCAAGGCTGTGGAGATTGAGGATGGGTCTCATCCCTCCTTTGGATTTGGGGACCAGGAAATACCAGGAATACAACCCCTTTCCCTGATACTCCTCTACAATTCTCCACGCAAGCAGAGTCTGGACCTACTGAAGGAGCAGTGTCTCGTGAGTGGGCTTCCTGAAGAAGGATGGGGTAAGTGGGTGGGGTGAGGGAATGCATAGGAAATATGTGGCATAACTTGATCTCACAGTGCTTTAGAATTTGATGGGGAGTAAAATTTATACCAAACTGAAGCGATGGAGACAGGGAGGTCACAATTGGAACACTGCCCTGGATATGCAAATCAAAATGGCTGCTTTGACACTGGAGGACAACAAGCTGGCTTGTTGAAATTAGACTTAGAAGACCTCCTCCTCTGTGATCTGACTCATCCTGGAAAAATCTTGCTGTTTCACAGAAAGAATAACTGATGGAAAAAACACTGAAAGATGTATTGCTGCTGCTTCTATTTCTATTGACTCCTCTTTGTGGATGGGGTATAAACATCCAAGGAATGCAAAGAAGCCTGGAAGTATTTAAATGAATTTAAAGTCTTGTCAGTCTTTTCTGAAAACAAAAAAGTGATCATCAAAAGGTAAGCCTTTTATGTTCTGCTGAACATCAGGAGCTATGCCAGAATTTTGCAACCACAAGGCCATCCTCATGGTCACAGCTGATGCCATAATTCTGGATGAAGCATCAGCAACGAAGTCTTGGCCATCAGAAGGCCCTACACAATGAACACCTTAGACCCCTCCCTGGAAACATCTGGTAACTTATCTGTGAATTTGGACATAGCATCCCAATTAAAGCCATATTTGGATAATAACACCTGCTGATTTGCAATGAGCACCTGCAAGAGGAGGTTACTCACCCTGTGCAGTAACTGACGTTCTTCAAGATGAGGGTCCCTGTGGGTGCCACACCACACACCCCTCTGCCCTCTC